TTACAAAGCAATGATCCCTTCTTTCTCTGTTACGCAGTCTGTAACAATATTCCTACCATTTTATTGTTGAAAATGGATAATCTACACTCATTTTTGCTTTGCAAAATATTTTCCTCTAAAACCTCAGTTGAGGTTATATGAATACAAGTTTAAACCAAGTAAAACATATTGTTGATATCTCCACCAGTACAAAAGCATTACAGCTGCCATTGCCCATATGCAATTTAATACTCAAGGAATTAGGTATATTTGGCCAAAGTTTTAGTGGTGCCACCAATCCAAATCTGCAGGGCTACTCTGGGACTTGAAATAAGGGCTGTACCAAGAGATGTTGTAATTTTTTGTATTCATTTCTTCCCTGGTACTGTTAGTGCAATCAATTTTTCCTTAGCATTATGTCAGTTACAAGAGTTACTAAGGTAAAGTATTACCAGGCCAGCAGGAAAGTGTCAGGACCAGCTCTGGAACCAGGGAGTTTGTTTTTGTTGACCTCAGTGGCAAATCAGCATTTTCAGAAAGACTGAACCATCTTGTACCTCCTGCTAATTATCTCTCAGTCTGAAATTGCTTCTGCAATGTACTAGTCTGCTCAGGACATGACACTACTCTGCTTACATCGTTTATTATGTCAGTATCATCAGCATCTGAGTGTGATATTTATTGAAATGATGAAGAAATAGTCAGGACGTACCTTGAATGACTCAAAGATTTAGTGTGTTCAAATACACTATGCTGTGAGTGGAGCACTCAAGGTTTTCTTCCTTCCTTCAAACGGAGCAAGTCCCCAGCAGAGCAGCAGAGTATCCATCACAGCTGATGGGGCTGGTAAGTAGGAGAGAAATGGAAGGTGGACTGGAATTGCCCACCAGAAAGACTTCAACATTTGGGTATTTAATACTGAGAACTAACAGTAGAGGCGATTTCTGACACAGTGGCTGAGGGCAGACACTAAGCACCATGAAATCTAAACCCATTACTGCCTATTTGTTTGCTTGCTTTGTTCTGCTCCCACACTGTTTATGTGGGCAGGTACACGGGCAGTGATTTATGTTTACTTGTTTGTCTGGACATTTAGTAAGATACCACAATATATCCACTGTGTGCTAGCACAGCATTAAAAAATGCTTTCAATTCCAGCCCAAGAATTTTTTATCCATATAAAATATCAGAGAATACTCAGAAAATGAATTCAAATATTTACAAGAATTTTATGAAACTGTACAGATAAACCACAGTTTCAATAACAAATCTCCCTCTCCTTACCCAAAACTGATTTCTGGCATTTTACTTAAATAACTGTATTTATTTTGTTATGTACATGTTTGGTATGAGATTTCTAACAGTAGGTTTAGGTTGGACATGAGGCAGAAACTCTTTACAATGAGGGTGGTAAGATACTGGAACAGATTGCTCCATAAAGCTATGGCAGCCCATCCCTGGAAGTGTTCAAGGCTGGATTAGATGGGGCTTTGAGCCATTTGGTTAAGTGGAAGGTGTCCCTCCAATAGCAGGGAAACTGGAATTACGTAATTTTTGAAAGTCCAATCAACCAGAACCGTTCCATGATTTTTGATGACTGGCACAATGCTACAGTACCATTTCCAAGCTTCAAAGAACAGCTGGCATTTCTTAGCATAATGCACTATTAATTTGAAGGTATTACTAACATACTGAAAATAGATTTTTATAATTTCTCACCAAAACATTTTCTCTTGTCATGACAGAAAGAAGTCCTGGAAAGACAATTCGATTATGCCCTTTTGAAAGCCAATGCACTTATTCTGACCTTAAGCTGTGGTACCGCCGCAGCGCCCGTGAGGAGGATTCCCCCTTCCCGCCTTCCCTCTCATCCCGCTCCGGCTCCGCATTCTGTTGCGGGCTGCGCCACCTGGCGGCGGCGCGGCGGCACTGCCCGCCCCGGGCACACGCGGCGCTCCCCGCGGCCCGAGGGAACGGCACAAGCGCCGGGAATCTTCCATTTGTCTCACAGAAAATTCCGGGATCCTGCAGCAAAACCATCCGTTTGGTGGGGACGAGCTAAACAAAAAATAGCCTGGATGAATCACAACGTACATTGCCCAAAAAGCACGGGAGGGCTTACTTCTTTTTGTCCACATTCAGAAAATATTTTAATGTTCAGTGTATAAGCACCCGTCACAGGACAGTAACTTATGAAATCTTGCTGGCGAGATAGATTGGTCGACATTGCAAGTGTTCAAGACTGAGACCTAAGAAGCCTGGCTTGAACACAGAAGCCAGGCTTTCACAGGGCTTCTCTCAGTAAGTTTGGAATTGCAATGGAGTAAGAGGAGCAGGAAGTTAAAAGAGATTATTCACTGATGAATTTATTCTACTGCCGTGCTTCCATGACAAGCAACAATTAACAACCCCGATAAATTTGGTTCTCCCACGATACTTGTTCTGATGTCTGCAAAAATGAGTGAAAAAAAGGTAGTTTCACCTTTTCATGAGCTCTAACACTATAGATCATAGTAATCTTTCTTAATAAAACTATTTAACTTCCTAACTCCTAAATGTTGACACGTATTACAGATAATTGAGAGGAACTTCAGTAAAATGAAAAATGAAAAGAAAAAACCAAACTGTACAATCCTTGGTTGTTTTTTTTTTCTTCTCTCTTTTAAAAATGTTTTTTGCGTCATTTTCAGATTTAGTTGAAAATCTGAGCTGGTAGCTATTAAGCAAGTGACCTGGCTACATTGCACTAACCAGTATTCCTAGTGACGTCCCTAAAAAGTTGTGGTAAATTCTGAAACTTCATCTCATTTTCTTTGCTCAGTTAAAATATCGAAGGCCATGGCCATACTTTGAGAGGTAAAACACTAATAATTCCTTTAAAACATGATAAAAGAATTTGCATGTTTTAAGTGCTGATAGGCTGCTGCACTTGTAGCTTCTTGCCTAGTAACGAGGCAAATAATGTGGCCAAACTGATCAATTCTCATTTGAAAAGATGATACAAATTCTACTATTTAATCTTCTTCAGAATCTTCTTCAGCTAGCACCTTCAAGACCACGTGATTATGTTAATTTCATTATGTGACCACAGCAAAAGAATCCTTAGGTACCTGTCTCAGCATGGATGAATGTTTTTACTACAAATCACAACTTCTACTGATGTATGACATAGTTATTTTGCTATACACAAGCAATTCAGATTTAAATTAAAAGAAATGCTAGTTAAGCCTTTCTATATTTGCTTAAGTGTAGAATCTCATGTAATCCCCATTTGTTTTTCAAAAGGACAGGTGATGCCTCAGCTGTTGAATTCAGTTAAACCAGTCACAGAATCTTCTGCATTGGAAGAGACCTCTAAATTCAGAGTCTGACCATTTACCCAGCAGTGCCAAGCCCACCACTAAGCCATGTGCCCAAGCACCACATCCCCACGTCTCATAAATACCTTCAGAGATGAAGACTCCACCACTTCCCTGGACAGCCTGATCCAGTGCTAGACAATCCTTTAGGTGATGAAAGTTGTCCTAATATCCAATCTAAACCTGCCCTGGCACAACTTTAGGCAGTTTCCTCTCATTCTATCACTTGCTACTTTGGAAAAGAGGCCAACACCCAACTTACTATACCGTCCATTTGGGTAATTTTAGCCTCGTGTATTCTGATTAAGATGAACTACCTTAGCAATGAGGAATCTTGTCAAAGTTTACAGAGTATTCTCATGGAACAGAAGTTAAAAAGAAGCACAGGCTTTGGGAAGAGGAATCACAAACATGTCTGTCAAGAATGCATACCCAACTTCTGACCTCCTCTGTTTTGCTCAGCTGATGAGGTCTATTTATTTGTTGCTTGGGAAAATAATGACCTATACACATCACTTATAGTTGCTTATTACCTGCAGTGACCTACTGGCACCTTTTGTGACCTCTGAGGTGTGGATTTTGACCTACAGCAAGTTAAGAAGCAGAGCAGGTACCCTAGCGCTTAAAAAAATCTGGCTGGAAGAAAGAATTCAAAGTACTGAAGTGCTCTATATTAAAAGAAAACTGGAAAGCGCCCTGTTGTTCAAACTACTGAGTCGTATTTTTCTGCTTTTCCTGGTGAGATAAACTTTATCTTTTTTGCTGTGGCCCACTTCCTACAGGACAGATGAAGGATATTCTCTTCCTTGAAAGAATTTGACCTCTGTCCCAGGAAGGAAGCTGGCAATAAACCAAAACCTTAAGCTTTTGGGTGAGTGCTGTAACCACTAATCTATTTTGGAAGGCTACAATTATAGACAAGAGGTGGGCAGCACTGTCATCACCTCCTGCTTCTGATTTTAAAACAGAAAAGTTATGACTGTATTTGGCAAAGAGTCCAATGCTATCTTTGTGCATTAGCCATATTCGGAACATGCCTCCTTGAACAGGCCCCTTGAGATGTAAGGGGTGGAGAAGAGTGTTCCCAAAGACAACTTCAGCTTAATCCCTCCAGCTCTATCTGCATTTGGGGGAAGAACATAAAAACTGACTCCTCCAGAGGATGATTCAGAGAACCTTAATTTAGGTACTTGCTCTGAATCACTCCCTACTTAACCTGGGGAAGCATCCTGGAGACAACTGATTCCACAGGCAAAGGTTATCCTCTGTGACAGTTCCTCTCTCAACATCCCCTCAATTGTCAGCACTATCCTCACTGACTTCTCAACTCCACCACAGTTTAGGTAGGAAGTTGTTGCTTATCCTCAGATACCTGCGAGACACAAAGGGAGGCACACTGAAGATGTCCAAATACATGGTTAGGAGCTGCCTAATTTCAGAATTTAAATTGCCAGATCATTAAACAAATAGACTGATTTTTAGAAGTTGTAATCCACCAACAGTTTCATAAATCGTTATTGACTTCACTGGAGTTAAGATGCAAAGTTGACACTTGGTGACTATTTTAGATTTAGCATTCCACCAAATTGCACCATGATTTTCCACATTTTAAAATAAATTTATAGTCGTTCGTTGCTTTTTAAACAGAAGACATAGTAATTATAAAGGGGAAAAAAGTCTTTATTACTAAATGCATTCATACAACACTTTTAAATCATAAATCAGTATGTTTTGAAGTTGTGGTAGCATTTTGTCACTCTTTAAATACTTGAGACTTATCGCTTTTTCCAGGTGAATTTCCGCCTGGGTCCCTCTTGACCAGGCTTTTTTCGTTCCTTCACACGTGGGTCAACTGTTAGCAATCCAGCTAAAAAACACAGAAAAGCACCCATTTATTTACTGCTACTGTTTAATATTACAGGTATGCTACATGAGCATGACTTCCAATAACAGTATGATTTGCATGATCTAGAGGGCTAAAGGTTCAGAACCACAAAATACTGAAATAAGTATCATCAGATCCTCTAACATTTTAACTTGTCTTTAGTAACTGAACTTCATTCATATTTTCCTTTATACACCACTAAAAGAACCACCCATTGTTTTTTTCTACCCATATTGCTTAGGGCCTGAAAGCAGTGGTCTCTCAACCTTTTTGATCATGCAGTCCTAACAGTATTTTTGAGCATGTACCCCCCAATATATGCATTTATTCACTTATGAATTATATACAGCACATTCTTACTGAATCCCGATGGATCAGATGCTCATTCCCCATTCTGAAGACCACTGTTATGTGGCATATTTATATGTAAGTACAAATACATTTATATATATATATATTTAAAAGTATATTTGGTAATGTCCCAAACATGTTCACAATTACCTGATCTCAGTAAAGATACCAAACTCATTATAATGTTTATTTACAAAGGTTTTCCTAGCAAGTTATACTTGCCAGTGTTGAAAAGGTACAGTCAAAGAAACTTGCTGCAAAGCATGAACACAGGTTTTGCTTCATGGCTGGCAACAGAGTGATAAAAATCACAGCTGTTCTGCCACTAATACAGGCAGGTATTTTTGCTACTAGTCCAGAAAGAGCATAGTTAAAAGCTCACCGTTCATAATTCTGCATTTGCTGAAACAGCACAGATATCTCATCACTGAGAAGCATCAAATCCTGCAGTTATCTAAATAAATTCTATCTTATCCTAGGTAACTTGTAAACACTAAATGGTGCAAGAGAGGAAAGAAGCTCCCTTGGTTTGACTAGCTGCATGCAGTACGTTGCAAATTACTCTCTCTTCAAAGCCAACATTGCTCTTTACTCTCTTTTCAAAGCCAACCCTCCAGCGTTTATGTTGGAGAACAAAATTTTTTAAAACATGAACAAGATGTGATCAATGAAATAAACCAAAACTCCATCTCAGTATCTTACAGCTCACTAATGTCTGATCCAGATTTATTTAGTAGTGAACACACATTCATGTTTTGCGATTCTATGTTGAGGCAATATAAGCTGGTTAATAGACCTAAAAGAGGTCATGAATGGATGGAAAAATGCTTGAGAAGTCATCCAATATGTACACAAAGGATGCTAAGTAACAAGTGAAAACAGTCTATAAATCAATGCACATCCCTTTCATACAATACACAAGGTTTCACTGGGATTATTTACTCAAATCTGATCCTTAACGATCCTTGTATTAATTCTGTTAATTACCAGAAACACATTATGAAACATTGAAATAATTCAATTCCTACCTTGCCTCATGAATTCCACCTCCTTTTCTGTCACAAAACTCCTTAAGGCTTTTGCAGAGGCTAAACGTATTGCTCCAGCCTGTGCAGATCTTCCTCCACCAGAGACTGTGCAAACCATATCATGTTTTCCAATTCTGCCGAGAAACTGGAAAGGGAACAATAACTGTTCCCTAAGGAAAAAAAAAGAAAAATTTAAAAATTCATGTGCATAAAGTTCTATGCTATACAAATTTCTTATCATTGTATATACAAAAATATAGTTAACCTTTGGGCAGAGGCCTAGAAAGGCATTCATATCTCATTCAAATCAATAGGAAATTAGCAGCTAGGAGCATATTCCAACTGCCAATGGTATGTACGCTCAGTTTTACAACTACTTTTATTCCACTACTTCTCTAAGGAAACCAAGATCCATCAGCTCCGGATATTGAAACTGAGCAACCTCTCCCTTTAATGTTGAGCTTAAAAACCTCAATATAAAATCACATTAGGAATAGAAACTTTATGTCAGCTTAATGAGAAGTCTTCTCCATATCAGACTGCGCACATCCTCCAAAATCTGAAGTTTTACATCAAAAGCCTCACCTTGTTTGCTTCCACAGTGTTACTGCATACTGCATGCATACTGCATACACATGCATGCAATTTGCAAATCTCTTGTGAAACACTTAATTTTTATTATTTATTTTTAGAAAAATTTCAAGCCCTTTCTAAGGGGACTAAAATTTGAGCTATTAAAAAAGTCTGTACTCTTGGTTTTTGCATCCCTTCAGAAAAGGTGAGGCAAGGAACATCAAGGTCTGCATATAAGTAAACTCCTGAAAATTAGGAGGAAATGTAAGACACATTTTTATGAAATAGATACTTATACAGAGACAAGAACATAGAATCAACATAGCATCAACACGTAACTGTATGGCAATACTTTTGCTGGAATAATTTAATTATGGTAAAATACAGCATTTCATAGTGCTCTCACCTGTCCTGCAGCACTGGGAAGTAATGTAAAATGTCTACTCCATTCACTGTAATTTTTCCAGTCCCATTGTCATAAACTACTGCAGTAGCTCTGGCAGTTTTTCTTTTACCTTAAAGGAATTAAATCAAACCTTTTTTGAGGCTTCAATATTCTTCAGAACTTCAAGTGCCCAAGTAGTTAAACAAATCTCATCACATTCATACAGTGCCAGCTGTTTGGTTTTACAAGCCGAGGTACGAAAAAAAATGCAAAGAACGAACAACTATCTTTCAATATATTTCAATCAATGTCTGTTAAGTGGGGGAGAAATGTGTGTTGGGAAACCAATCTCCTTCAGCTCAAAGGAAGCAATCATTCTGATAAAAGAATTATGAAACAAGTAAGACATTCTTTTTCATTTTGGGGGTGATGGGGCACAAACAAGACTAGTTTTGAACTTATTAAACCTGGTGGCTTTTCTTAAATCACATGGATTGCATGCTCATCAAACTACTCATTACTACTACATGCTGATCATCATCACTTACTACTGTTCTGAAGATACTACTGAAAACCAGTGCAAATTAAATAATGGTTTACTGCTCTCACATCTTTGTTGTCATGTAATCTTGAAGACAACCCAGGCAAAGCAGCTTTCTAGCCATTCTGCCCCTCAAATTCTGTGACCTTTGTTCTTATTATCATCTGCTGCCTGCTGCATAATACCCATCATCTCTATGATTCCTCTTAACTGTACAGCATAAAGTGTGTGTGCACACATGGTTTGTCCAGAAAAATCATCAGCCTTTTCTATACATATTGTTGTCACATTTTTTTCTATGTAATCATTCATATCCTATATCCTGTATTGCTTTCCAACTGTGTGTCTCTCCAATGAAAGCATAACAGCCTGTGTTTAGAAGGTACAGAGACCCTCACAGCTTTTTTCTAACATCCCCTTAATCTCAGTATGAATGATCAATATTCCATTATCCATCTGTCCCATATTTAGAAATTTCCTCTTCACATTTTCCTAGGTGTTTGTAAATATCCAAATGCCTTGCTATTTATTCCTTGCATCTTCAAAGTTCCCCTTTGCTGGATTACCTACAAAAGTCATGATAAAGGTTACTTACTAGTCTAAGCATGCCATTTTTATACCAAGCAATAACACTGTTACATCAATGGAACTATTCATATTTGTTTGTGCAGTCCTCCACTCTGTATGTTCATCAGTTAGCTCTGCCCAAAAATCATTTTGTATCCTACAACCTGTAACCCAATGGGGTCCTCGCTACAGAGTTATTACTGTATAGAAATACATATAAAAAACAGATGATAGACATCTGGGCCAAAAACTTGTACTTTCTGACCAGTCCTTAGCATTCCATAACATCACTAACAGCTATACATGCAGTATACATATATATGAGCATATAAAATGAACTAGTGACACTTTCAGCAGTGTTTTACACACTACAAGAAAGCAGTGTGAAGAGGAAAAAAGTCTACATTGTTACAAATCAACTTGAAACGATTACCTTCTCCAGTGCTGAAGGCCACTCCTCGCTCATCATGCTGCAAGGGCTCGATAACCACCTTCTGCAACTGCACAGGAACTTCTTTGGAAAACTTCTGTATATACTCCTCCTCAATGTCAGCACATGGCAATGCTACCAATTTTTGTAAGAGTTTAATAAATCTTGAATACTGTAAGACAACAAGACTTCATTAAAGTATGTAAGTGTAATTGCATTTGTGAAAACTTTCTATTTTTATTTAATGGATCTTTCCTACTTCTCTTTTATTGATGATTTCTGAAAAGATGACACTTTTGCACCTACATGCTGATTTAAGAACAGTATGCAGTTGCATCATTTCTGTGTGACTAAAGACATCTAGTTCTTTCTTCAGCAAACAGTGAAACTTCAAAGCATAACCAACTCCTTTTTAATAAATGATAACTGTATTAGAATGAAGTTCATCTCATTAAAAAAAAACAACAAACAACACATTGGGTAATGCCTTAATTCTTTTACTATTGTTTTATTAAAATAGGAACAGATTTTCACCCACTTTTTAGTAAGTCAGCATATTCACTGATTTTGAAATAATTTTATTTCACTGAACTGAATCTCATAAATTATTATATTTCATAACATACACAAAAAATGCCTATCTTTGGCTGTTCAAGTTGAGTTACTTTAATGTTTATGATTTCCTTTAAAACTGAACAATCAAGGTATTTAAAAATTCAAGAGATACTTGACTTAAAGGGCAACCTCTTGAAATAAATTATCCTTCACTACTGTGTGGTTCTCCTTCCCCCTTATACCTCCCTCCAAAGTTCTTCAACATGTGATTATACACCAGTGTGTTAACCCATTTGTGCAAAAAGTGGGGATGTCCTGTTACCAAGTGTTACTGGCAGGAGCTCCAGACACCTGTCACCAGATATAAAGGTATCATACCATCAAAAATTGATTTTTCATATAGATATCATAACCTGATTTTTGAAGGTTTTTTTTTACTTACAAACAGTTATTGTACTCTTTTATTTTTATAAAATTATTATATATTATTATACTCTTTTACCAGTCTTCTTTAGCACCAAATTATTACTTTTCTTCTAACTTAATAATAGTCCCTGGAACTTTGACATCATTTGAAAACTACTTTTACCTAAAATATGACACAGATTTGTGATAAAGCCTTTGAAGAGCAGAAATACAGAAATAAAAACATATAAAGTATAGATACTATAGAAGTAGAACATGCACTCTCCAAGTGAAAAAAAATCAATAGCTCTGATTTTGTTTAATAATGTAAACATCCCTGAAATTTTTGTTGCAGTGGCAAAAGGTAAGAATTTGAGGAGGAAAGACTGGAAGCTTATACTGAGCCATTTCAAATATATTTAAACAATGTATTCTACTATAGACTCAGGCTTTGTGATCTTACGTTGGAGAGGCCAGTATATAGAAGAGTTTAGTGTAGGTTTTGGTTGATTGGTGTTTTTTTAAGTTTATTGCAATGTACTTTTATAGATGTAAAATGTAGTAATGTACAGAATGTACTAAAAGAAGAACACCAAGCTGTTTGGTTATACAAGACCTGGCACTTGGAGAGGAAAAATAGCCATTCCAAATGCAATAGCTACTGAAAATACTGAAGTCTTCATGGCTTCTACTGCAAGTAGAGAAAGTCTCCTGGGTATTATCAGGATGGAGAATTTACAACAATTACTTCTAACTTATGTGTATGGACCACAATCTGCTCGAGACTTTTTTACATCCCCCACAGACAACAAAGCCATTACATGCCACTGTTCCAGATGACAACTGAGCAAAGGGCATGTTTGCTGCTGTTATGCTATTATTGCTAAGCTGTTGTTCACAGGACAGACAAGATTGAGGAACACTGCTTCTAGGTGAGAAAACACTTGGAATGTTCAGACAAATAGAGTTACATTCTCTGGTACTGTCATATTCAAGCTTCCATAAACTGGCCACATAGACTAAACCTGCTGTTACAAAATCCAGTGCTTTTCAGAGGACTGTAGGGAAAAGCTGAGTGAGAAAAAAGTGTATGACTATTAGGATGAATAGTCTTATCCCCAGAGATAGATGTAAAGGACAACTCCAAACCTACAGGGTGATACAGTTTGCAGACACTGAGGAAACTGCAAAACTCTCCTCTCTTCCACCATATTCATACCAAGGAGAATGTAACAGGAGATATCTGTATCAAACCACAGATCTATACAGCTTTGTGTCTTGTTTCTGTTATTTGATTTTTTAGTCAATCACTAAGAAGAAGGACTCCTTATTTCTAGTAAGCCCTCTGTGATTTTTGTAACATTACAATGTCATCCTTAACATTAAATAACTTAACTCTGTGCAAGTTTACTGTTGTACAAATCCATTGTATTTCCCCATGTTGAATATTTACCCCTTCTCTACAATTAGTAATAGCAGTTCTAGCCCTATTTTTCATCTGTAACTACAATCAATGACTATTTATTTCTATAATAAATTCTTGTAACCAATTCCTGACCACAGAATTCGGTTACAAGGAATAAGTGCCCTAGGTCTCACAATGTTGCCAGGAGAAAAACTAAATTATGGTAATAACAATGGACAGCTCTTAAAGAGTTCTGTATTGTGCTAGATAAAAAAATACCAACACAAGTCACTTCAAAACAACATGAATGTGACAGTGCTGTGAACTGTCTCCACAGACTTAATCAGAAGACAGAAAACTCTTTTGAAGAGCACCTCCTTCTGAATTATACCTTTCCAGTATCCAAAAACATACCCAGAGTCCATATTTTTAAGATACAAACCTCCTTAAGACTGGGAAGATTAATTACTTACATCATCATCTGACACTTTTTCTAACAACATTTCTTCCAATTCAATCTTAGTCAGCCATCTGCTGCCAGCCAGGTTTCTGTTTAAAATATCATATATATTCTTCCTTTAATTAACCATGCAATTAGAGTTACATCACAAAAGACCACACATACAGTCAGTCTTCGTTCAGAAATACATTTTCCATTACAAATGAATGCAGATCACATTCCTATAGTAAACATGAGAAAGCCTATGTTGATTTAAAAAGATCTGCCTTTTGAAAGGTATGGTAACTTCATGCATTGAATTAATCATATGACCATTATGAGTATCAGCTATGCATTATTCATATTATTGAAGTCAGAGATTGAATTAGAATAATACTGTAATAGAAAGTAATCTTCCCCACAACTTACAACTTACTTTTAAAAGCATGCTGCCAGAAAAATTTATATTAATACTAGCAGCCCATAGCAAAATCAAAGGCAGAGTGTTAATATCAAATTCTTTTGCCACTGGTCTTTTCTGATCAATATAAAGAACAGCACTAGCAGTAAGCATACTCAAAGTACTAATGTAGCAGTGACACCCTGTGTTCTATCTACTGGCTAATCTTGAGCTGCTCAGCAGAGTGACTGCACTGGTGATAGCAAAAGCAGAGATTTCTAAGAGAACAGCCTCATACAGAGATACTAAGGCAAAGAAAACCCAATGTTTGAAGTAAATTGTTGAAATATATATGATATGAAGTGACCAACAAACAGCAATAAAAATACATACCAACATTATCAAGTAAATTTAAGGCAAAGATGTAACTAGCTTCTTAACTCCTCAGGTTTTTGAGAAACATGCTCCTTTCAGCAGCATGAAGGAAGCTGTGATTCAGTAAAACATTCCTTCTGAAGGTGTTTTTAAGGAGTACTACTTCTCAAGCATGCATATTAATGTTTTTCTGAGTCAGGACACAAGAAAGGATTATTTAGAGTCAATGCAGATTTTAATTTTAAAAAGCTTCCAGTCCTGACAGACTCAAGTATATTACTTGCATTTACGTATTGTTACTTGCTACTTCCATTGAAGCTGGAAAAAATTTCTTGCATGTGAAAAGCTATAAACTTGAAGTAGTTCAGATCAGGTCCTAACCTTACAGCTAGTATTACAGAATGTATTCACAATAGATTATTTTCTGGGGAAAAAAATCCCAACAAACTCCATGCCTCTCAAACCAAAAAACAACCCTTCCCACCAACCCTCTACCTATACTTAGGAGATAAATTATCCTATCCAGACTAATCCCAGAGGAAGTACCATATCCAGAGTGAGAAGTAAGTATCAAAAATTCTTTAAATTCTCTGAGTGTTACAAACCTAACAGGGAAAAAACCTTTCATCTCTGGCTAGCTTTAGGTTGTTTTTCACATCAGTAAATCCACTGGCTGAGCTCTGTAAGGAGTCAGGCTATTTCTCAGCAGGATGCAGCAAGAAACTAAAATCATTTGTTCTCTTGTCTGCTCAGAACCTAACACAAATCTATAATGCAACATTCTGTGGGTCACAGAATGCTATTTATATCATGAAGAAACACAAACTTCTGTTATTTAAGAAACTGAAATAATCTCAGCAAATTAATCCTTTCTCTTCATAACATAAATAACAAATGGCTGAAACGAAGAAGCGACAAACCAACACGATGTGCTCCTGGAGCAATGCATACATTTGGCTAGAAAAAGCACAGCAAGAACAAAGATAAAAACAACTTGGGACTGGGAAAAAAGTAACTATATCAAAAAGCAGTAAATGCCTAAACCAAAACTTCCTAGCTGCAGCCATTGCTTTTTAACACTTGCTTAACTCATTTTCTAATATAAAATCCTTGCAAGAAACGTCAAAAATCAAGACTACAGTCAAACAGCACTTAAAAGCATATCCTGACTGGGCACACTTAGAAACCAACAACTGTAGATTTCCCATAGCTTCTGGATGACATGGAGCTTTTCTGTCCAGTGACTAACGAGATGAAGAGCTTGACCAGAGAAGTTAAACAGAAAAAAAGAGACCCTAAATTCAATTACTAATAGTGGCAATAATTAAAGAAATCCAGCCAAATGAGCTTTTGTAAAATTACTAGGTTTTGATGATTTCTGTTCAAAGCCATTAGAAGAGAAATAGTGAAATTAAGTATTTTGAGACTCTTAAATTTAAATATTGGTAAGTTAAAATATTCAAGAACTGCAATTAAAGATTTTTAAAGAGCTGAACCTTAGATCTTGAGATTTTAAAAGCAGGAACAATGTAGTTGGTACTTTAAAAGCCCTTGGTTTTTAATAAAAAGTTTACCTCCCTTTTTCGAAATGTTTTAATAAAAGACATAATTAGAAAATTCATACAAAATACATGTTTTATACATATGTTAATTCATATATATGAATATACATATGTTTCATACAAAAAGAGAAAACATTCATATATATGAATATACATATGTTTCATACAGAAACAGAATTCTGGATATTTTCTGTTTATTTTCAAATCACACTTCAGAACTTTTATAAAGCAAAGAATATTGAAAAGAGCTGAGAGAGTTTAAAGAGTACGAGAAATAGAAATGTCACTTCTAACAATAAGAAGTGAGTGCTCCACACATATCTGGTAAAACTTTTCAAGATGAAATTACCATACACATATTGCACAATGAATAGAGCAAAAGCCTGAAAATCTGTTTGTGGAATAGAAGGCAGGTAGCACGGGGAACTACCAGAAATGCCAAAACAGAATATGAGAGCACATGAAGAAAACTACTACCAATATTCCTTCTAATTGGAAGCTTACCGTTTTTCCTTTTGAAGAGGAAGGTCTTGAGCTATCAGTTGGTCTTGATGTTTCTGAACACTCAGCAGTTTTCCATATGTTTCCTTAAATGTATATGGAAGAAGTATTTAAATAGATTTTTTAATTTAATATTTAAATTTTGCTACTGAAAATGCATGTTTAAATGGTTTTACTCTTCAAACACATAAAATACAGAGGTCAGAAAACAAGCAGAGCTCTGACAAAAAAAAATCACGTGCAGTTCAAAATTACTGATTTTGAATTCTGCAACAGTGTTTTTTGCCTTCTTACATATGCTTGTTAAAAAAAAAAACTCAACTGTATACAGAAAGACAACAACATTATACATTTGTATAATGAATGCAACTCCAAAACACACTGCACAATAATTTCACCAGTGCATTCACATTTTTGTTTGACTTCCTCAAAATACTGACAAGGTTTAAGACATATTTAATTTCATTTAGTTAGGATTTTTGTATATGTAGAAGTGTCAGATTTACTGGTGATCTGTATCAGTCACAATTTCTTACCCTGGCATGTCTACATGGATAGAAGTTTGCACATTTACCTTAGTAAGAATTTCTGTTCTTTCCACTGTGTGCAGATGAGACTTACTCTGAATTTTCAGTATTTTTAAATAGTTTCTTCAAAATTCTTAGCTATGTAATTATTTTCAACAATGGTGTGACAGTGATTAAGTACTTCAAGAAAAAAAAGGGGGGAAAACACTCAAAAAATCAGAATAGAACTATTACAGAAGAAAAACATTTTAAATGAAGTATTTTTAGGGTTTTTTCAGTTCAGAAACTTATAAATACTACTTGTTCTAAAATATAACCTCTAATACTCTTAATTACAACAGTATCCAAATGCAAAGGTAAATAGGAGTATTTGGATAAATAATTATAAATTATATTGAAACAACAGGACAGTTGTACTACAACTAAGTACTTCTATGTCAAATAATTTACTTTCATTTAGGAGTGAAATAGAAAGCTTATAGTCACTTTCCTATACCATACTAGTATGAGTTTTAGCAAATACTACAGAGAAACAACAGTGTAAGAATTTTTGGGGACAAGAAACAATGGTTTGGGGATTTTTATTTGTATTACTTACAAAGAAACAGTAAAGGAAGAAACATGAGACAGCTCGGTGCTATCAGATATTAACTAATGAAATACTCGTTCTTAACATAAAACTGGGATTTATAACAGGATGCAGTGAAATATCTGCAACAGCTTAAAAATAACCACAGAATAGAAGCCCCTTGCTTAGTAATAAACACCTACTGTTCAAGCTTTTTTCACCAATATAAAATACACCTGCACATAACACTAAAAATATTTGTACTTAAAATGTATGAACAAAGAACAGATTGTTATCTGAGCTGCACTCAAAGCATTTAAATAGGGACAACTTACTGAAGTCTCTGACACAGGTCACTGATTACATTTTTAATGCCACAGTGGAACAAAATATTTTTAAAATAATTCCACAGCTAAAATCTTGAAGTACAAAATCATTCACTTTTGAGACAGCATGAGAATTCATATATTACAGTAGTAGTTATCCTTTCAGAAATCCTTTATCTTTCGTGGGGTAACTGTATCAGATAGGAGCTAGGAAAAAATTTCAACTTAAAAAAAGTTTATTTATCCTCAGACACAGGCAACATTACATAAAAGAGCCGAAATCCTATTTTCAAGTATTTCCAAACCTCACAAACATAACCGTAGCCCTCTAAGGAAACAAGATACAGTATTACTACTGCGGGCAAGATTTATGCCACATCACTCTAATAATCTTAACAACTTCATTCAGAGCTGACCATTAGGCTTCAAAAATTATTGCCTATACATTAAAAGCAGACACAGTTTGGGTCAGAGAGCATGAGGTATGCCTGCACCAAGCAATTTTTAGGCATCTGTAGTTAAGACAAGGTAAAGAATGAGTATGGAGGCTTCTGCTTGGGACCACAGAGTGAGGGAAGAGAAAGGGAAGGAGTGCTGTGCCTGTCCCTCAACAAGCTGGGGAGTTCAGCTGGAACAGTCAGAGATTGAATCTGATGAGCTCCATGAGTTTCTGCATTTGGAAGAAGTCAAGCCAGGCACAAAGATGATACTTTGATGTCAGATGCTTAGAAGATGTGCTGGTTTATTAGGTCTTATAAATGTGTATGGACCTTTTCCACCTTACTGCTACTCTTGACTTACCTCTTGCCTTCAAAGACAGAAGGTGTCACCACTCTACCTACAAAAGCAGTCTCCTGTCTGCCTCCTCACAAACACCCATCCTCTTCCAATACATTCTGACATGCATATTTATTTATCAGTATGGTCAGCAAAAATACATGAACAGGAGCTCAACACAGCTACAACACAGTTCCTTTAAAAAGGACACAGGGAGGCAATCACAGTTGTGGCCTTAAGACAGACTGACTACAGTCAGAATCGCTTCTAAACAGCAATTCAAGTATTTTCAACTAACATGACACAAGTTAGAAGACTTTAAGGATTTTGTCATATTTGGAAACAACTGATAAACACAGGCAAATAAAATGAGATATGGGTTACCATCCACCACTTTCTAGCCGCAGGAAATTAATTGTCAGTTACAATGACAAAAAGGTTTAGAACAGCAGCAACAATAAAATTTGCCTGAAGACACTCCCTAGGTAATCCCAAAGAACACCAACATCCCACAGCCTGTTTAAGTTTTAAGAACATGCACTTTTAAGAATTAAAATTATATCTTTAAACTGTTCTGGTTAAATTACAGCAATCATATCTATTCAAACAAAGAACCCTTTACATGGGAGATGAAGTCAAGCAACATTTTAAAGTAATTCCAAGTGTAAGAGAAATGTTAAATATAATTTCCTACATATTTTTGGCAATGAAAGTGGACTTGCAACTCTTATAAAATTTTGGTCTGAAGTACTTAAAAATTGATGCATGTATCTTATCTCTGTATAGAGATAAAGCCAACAGACTGAAAGAACCACTCACGTGTGAAGTAATGTGGATGAGCCTTTGCAAAATCAGGAATCACATGTAATGCCCAATAATTTATCTGACAAATCTTCACTCTCCAACGGCTAAAGAAAGCTTCTGAAGACACACTTGCTTTTTCAAAGCTGGCAGGTGAAGATTTTACTAATCACTTGAGGATTCAATAGTCCAATTCATGACTGTACACATCTGTGTGTCTTGTAAACTCAGCTATTACACAATCAAAATAGCTGATTTTACAAGACTATGTACTGAAATGCTTCCATTTCTAATAGAGATCAAACTTCAGTTCTCTACAAGGACACTTAAAATAATAAAAAATTATTTTACTCTGCATTAAAAATGGGGGAAAAAATCAGCAAATGAATCCCTAAAAAGATTTTTATGGGGAAAAAAATTCTATCAACATTATAGTTAAGATATGCTGCAGAGCTCACATTTTACCTGAGTTTGCACTTTACTTTGTTTCTTGTGTTTTGAGTTCAGCATACACTTTGGTTTTAAGTTTCGGAATATTTTTGAGAGTTAAAATGCTAAATTGTTAGAGTATTTACCTCAATCCATAAGCCCTGATATTTCTAAAAAATGTACAAGAAGCATGATTACATGGAATTACTATTTTCCTGTGCACAATGGTATGAAAGCACCATTTTGTCTTGTTCTGCACATTAAAAAAATGTTATTATTCTTAAAAAACTTTTAAGTGAAATCGTCAAATGCACTATCAAACATTTGCAAAATGGTGTTTCATGCAATAAACAGTCTTTTGTGTATCAGAAGAAAAATAAATTGTCCTTTTCCCTACAGCTAAACTTTATTCAACAAGCAGAACAAAAACAATAATGCACGTAACAAATATCTTGTACGATAGCTCATTTCACACTGAAAGAGAAACATTTAAATTGGCAATTATAATACATACAAAAATAGGTTTTTTTCAGTAAGTGGACAGTATTTTTTATAAGGACTAACTAAAGAATAACGCTATGCCCAGATATATAACAACTAACAGGTAACAAAATTCAAGTTCCACATGAGCCTATGTAGTCATTAATAGCATAAAAGTGTAAGCTAAATAATATGTTTATCCTGTTTATTAGATTTAATGTAGCAATTTCAAAGGCATCTTCAAATCGGATTGATTACTTACACTAGGCTGTATTAACATACAACTCTTTTCTGGACAAATTAATTAGCTTTGAGACTTAGGAATACATTTTTTTAAATACACATTAGTTTAATAAGTGGTTAAAACAATGTTGGGAATTTCATGCAGATTTTGCCTTTCATTTGGCCAACTCAGAAAAAAAACCTGTTAAATCTCACTTAATGGATTTACATTGATATAAGCCTATTTAATGAAAATATTCAGAAAGAGTTGAAGAACACTCAAGTATCCTATACTAATGAAAAATGCATTTGTCAAGGCCATTTGTTTGAAGGTGGTTGCCATGCTCTTAGCAACAAAACATGCACTATACTTTCAGAGATTTCCAAGGCAAGCTTGCACACCCTAACTGCTAGGAAGAGCTAAAAATAAACTTGTGCTCCTTGTAAAATTTGTAATTTCTTCATTATGATGGAATGCAACAAAACATCTTGCCCTTGGGTTGCTCTGTTTCAGCCAAAACAAATGCAAATGGCTTGTCAGATGACAGCTGTTTGATAAGGCTCCTCTACAAGACCTGCATGCTTTACTTTTTTCCGTGAAACTTGGGATGAAAGGCAGAAGGCAGGAAGAGAATTAATGTAGCATACAGTCTAAAGGCAATGCTACAACCGTGATTAAGTAGAAAAGTTAAAAGGCACAGATTTTCCACAGCCTTGCTGCGTGCAACCCATCCGTGTAACAAGTTGACAGGCCTAGCGCGTCAGCTCCATCATCCTCTCCGACAGCTAAAACGCAGCATTGCATCCCTTTTCAGAGAAAATTTGCGTCTGCACCATGAAGCGTTGTACATTATTTCTTAGCACTGCAGGGGGCTCAAGTCCATATGGAACCTTCACAAATATTACCACAGATCAAACCAGCGGCGTTTCGAGGCAGATTTGACATACCTATTTAAATGAACAGCAGGGGTCCTCGGGCTGCCTCGGGCTGTGCAGGAGAAAACCTCTGTGGAAAGCCTATGCTGCAGCTCCATTACTCAGCAAAGACACTCTCTACATTTATCATTCATTTCATTTCTGCCAGGGCAAGAAGCTCATTTGCCCAAGGTCAACAACAAAAAAAAAAAATTAAAAAAAAGGAAAAAGAAAAAAAGTGGGGGTGTTTTTTATTCTCCCAAAGAAATAAATGTACCTGACAAAAAGGGATTTTGTCCTTTGGGTACACAGAACTCAAATAAATATCAGATCACTCTAATAAAAACACTATACTCAGTAAAGCTGTGCACTGAATTTGTGACCATAAAGTTTGTTTGTTTTTCTGACAACTGACTAACCATAGAACTAACTTCTTAAAACTGTCTAATGAAGAAACAAAATCTGATGTGAATATCCAATTAAATATTTCTGCATTATTACATTGTTAATGCTTTTGTCTTCTGTAAGTACGTGTACAAAACATGATTATCTTCCCATAGACTCCTCTAAAGATGCTGATAATGCTTGTGCTACTGATGGTCACAGATATGAAAGGTCTGTTCACAACCCGTATCAATACTCAGGGTCTAGTGGTACTCTATTAGATACAGCTTTTTTCATAAAGGTAAAAGATGCAGATCCTTTACTCCTGGAACTATATTAATCAGAAAAAGCCTTAAGTTTGCATGAATGGAACCATCTTAGAAAAATCAATTAAGCAGTTTAAATGCAAATTTTCTTCACACTAAATGTCAGCACAAATAACATTTCCTATAGCTTTGCCCTTCACAGAGGAAAAAAAAAGAACTATATTTTATTCTACAATGAACTTTGCTAGAACTAGCAAAGTTTTTGTTGTATGTGCATTCTCCACTACTAATCTTTTGCTACTAACTAGATATAGCCTACAGAAAAATGTTCAGACTATTCAAAACCAGTCCATAGCCAAAACTGTAAAATGAACCAAAAATTAAAGGAAGAACTATTACATAGTGTGTTCTCCTAAATGTGACACATAAATGCTCGTAATAACGAATACTGTGACACAAAAATAGACACTGCATATAGCTTCAGTGGTGATATTATGGCCTACTGTGAAAACATAACTAAGCTCAGGAGCTCCTGAGCAGCACCTCTAGAATAACATGCACTTGACTGGGAGCTGACATTATCTATTACAGATAACATACTTACATGCATTAATGAATAATACGACTGCTTGCCAGTATAAAAGAGGAAGTGAAATGGTCGGCCATCTTCTCCCCACTGGATTTCTAATGGAAGGCAAGATTAGACAAGAAAGCAATATACAATCACTAAAAAAAATTCCCTTGTATCTAACTGCAGTTAGAAACCTCTTTCACAATACTGATTGTCTTTTTAAATCAGAGAACAAAGACATTTTTCAGGTGCTCAATCTGCCTAGAAATCTTATAGTTTAGACAATATTTTTTTAAAGCTAATCTCCCTCTGCAGTTATAATCAAATATTTAAAATTATAGTTGTAAATAACATTTGACATAAGGAAATCCTTTGTGTACTACTCTAGAAGACTGTATAGGTGGTATTACAAATAGAAGTATACATTTTAGTGCAAAAAGATACAAAGTAAGAGACAACTGAAATCTACACTGAAAAGTGAAAGATAAGCAACTCTGGAAAAAACAGTGCTAAAACAAACAAGGTTTTTATTAGCATAATACACCTAAGCTAAATTAAGTATGTGTACAACTGTCTCTTGTGGGCAACAACCATATTCAGAACTTGGGTGATTTTAGAACTTGTCCTTGTTATTACATTTGGGATACTTAAATACAAATACCTATCCTATAGTTTACATAGTTAGTTCAGCAAGAAAACAAATGTTCCATATTAATTCAGCATATCCAGTCTGTTTTATTCATTACAAAGTATTATTTAAAGACAAAATTCAACTTTGGAGAAAAAAAAAAAAGGCAAACTTAGATAACATAACAAAGATAATTCAAATAAAGAAAAATTACAAAAATAAAAACCTGAGAGCTTTTTACAAATTGAACTGTAGAGAAAATCCCAGCCATTTTATCCAGTGAAGTTAATTAAAGCTATTTGTAAACTAAAGGCAAAGATAAGACTCCAGAAACCTGTCTGATAAGCAGAATATATACTGGATTGGAACATCAAGATATATATACATTCAGAAGCTGAACAGATGCAAAACTTAGCAGAAAAGAAAGAACACAGGGGACTTTTACCCACATATATTACTAGGGTGATTTTCCATGTATACAGTTGTGAAACCATATTTTGTTGAAAAAACTGTTCCGGAAACTTTCCAAAGTATAAACTTAAGTTTTGCATTTCAAAGTTATTGAAGACGCAATACATAGACAAGACAAAGCTGCCTTAAGAGATACTTATTGAATGTGTTATTTTTAGATACAAATACAAAATGATACATTTATACTAATTTGTTCTTACAGTCCTCAGGATATTGCTAGCATTTCAAAGAATGCTTTAGTCCTTAAAGCATATAGAAGAGTAGCTTAGTTCTTCCATAAAACAACCCTTGGGTTTTAAAACTACTTAATGATTAACTCTCTCCTACCCTTTCCTTTTCTACTTTTTTACTTCACAATACAGGGAAGTTGAAAAATAAGGCATGATACCATTTGAAAGCTGAAAATCCAAGATTTCATATAGTTTAGACTGCTTTCCAAAGACACAAAGTCCCCAAAAAAACAAGTATCAATTATTTCAGCAGCAGGGAAAAGGAAGGAAAACTTTAAGATTATAATGATAATAATAAATGTTTATCTGGGACCTGATAACTCACTGAATGTAGAATTTCACACCCAAACTACTAGTTCATACTAAATACTAGTCAAAACTGTCAACAGGTTTTTACTTTATCTTTCAAACATTCTATTTAAAATTAAATTGTTGTTTTTAGTGACCTGACCAACATACTGGCATATCACTGACATCTGGGACTTTATACAGTGTCTCAGGAGCAAGACCAAAGACAGTATGGACAGATATGCAGAGATAGGGCTTTAAGGTCAAAGAACTGTTTCGCAGAGGTTCTACTCTGCCTATTACTTTAAAAAATTCAAAACTGTAATTTCTAATCTTCTAGAGCAACAAAGTTACAAAGAAAACTTTTGGTTTAAAATAGTATTAATGAATATTTAATGGAGGTGATAGCTCTGACAAAAAGCTACTGAATTTAACAAAAGGTTTTCACATGACTTCAAGAGATTCTACACATAATTCTATTTATTGCTTATTTTTAAACAATGAAAAACATTTATCTTAGTCAGTTAACACAATTTCTTAGATCAGCGGCACTCTGATAATTTTTCATCCTAAACCACAGAATATCACAATAGACTTTTACTGCTCATGTCTTAGCAGCCATTAGAAACATAGGGAAAAGAGCCAATCCATAAAAAGAAGAAATTCTACATATACAACAATTCTAATACTTAGAGATAACTAAATAAGTATCTAAGACCACTTACTTCTCTGCTCTGGAAAAATTTCAGTAGGATGCTGCAAATAAATGAAAAATATCAGCAAAAGGAAAAAGTTACTCAAAGTATCGTGCTACAGTTATTCAGAAATGTAACAAGAAATCCTACCTTCATCACAGGTCTGGCCCGTTTGTCGAATAAGCCAGAAGGAAAGAGGTAAGCAATAGCTCTCTGAAAACAAGAAGAAAGATCTCGTATGTGACTTTTTTCCCACAAAAGCATAATCAAAAACATTTCTTATGTACTTTCTTATGCAAAAAATAGCATAACTTTTGTACAGTAGGCAACCAAATTGGTAAGAAAATGTGACACATAGGTAATGTGCTGAAAAGAAAACCAGGTAATTTCCTCTGGAATCCTCAGAAGTAAAACCTCGTTCTGAAGGCTGTACTCTACTGCATCAGAATGAGTGGACTTTCCTCTGCCAAATTTAGTTTTTATAGAATGCATTTATCATAACTTACCAGAACTACTCAAGTCCAAAGACCCCCTTTATACACAATGATTTTCCAGTGAAATTTCAAGTGTTGTTTATCTTTCTGAAATTATCAGAGCTTGCTAACATTGCCTACTGACAGACCAAGCACAGAAATTTTATTTAAGGCAACAGGAAAAAGCCAAATTTTAAACATTTGGAATCCCACTTTCTACAATTTCCAGACATAGTTTCGTCAAGTCTGTTTGTGGTGGCAGTAATAGCTATTTTACACAGCCTAAATAAGCATTTCATTGATCACTGCATTTGGAAACAACTGTGAATCACTAAAATCTTTGCTGAACTTGAATCAACTGCCCAGAGAAGAAACACTCAAGTGACATCTTTTTTTCCCCTTAGATACCTGAAGGTTTGATAAAACACTTTCGAAAATATTTTCACTCATTACAAGGTTCTGTATTTTTACCTAATCAATATTTACCAATATTTATGTGATATATAAAACAAGCATTATTTGCCTACAACAAATGAAATTAATGAACCAATATTCCAAACCATTCTGGCAAAATGTAAGGCAAAGCACCTTACAAAGTTAAGCCCTGGCACACATTTCTGTTCAGTATCATCTTACTCTCCCTCTTCAACGTAACTAAACCATAATTTAATAATGCAAAAATATGCATTTGTCAGAGCTGTTTATTTTAATTTGTTTTTAAAAACAAACCAGAAAAAGCTAGCCACCAAAAGCTCCCAGATGTAGGAGTCTGGCAAGTGTAGCCAACTTCAGACGGTGGGTAGCAGAGCTCCAGACAGAAATATTGTGTTTGTACAGTAAAATGGACCAACCAAATAAACCCTTCTGGCAGTGGTCTCATTTATATTTCCATTAGACACTACAGAAAAGTAGAATTACAATAAAATCTGAGTTTAAAATCTTCTCTCAAGAAGAATGGTTGTTAGTTAGGCTACCTTAGGGCTATTACTCGCTGATAATTTTTTCCATAGACTTGGAGTGCTTTGTCAGTGCTTCAACAGATTTAATATGCATGGAGTGTAAAAAGACCTAACCTATTACTTTCATTAATCCCCTACTGGCATTCTGAACAGAAATTTTCAGAATTCTGAAGCAAACAAAAGGCTTAACTTGATTTTATAAAATGGTAATTTTGTTTCTCTTAGTGACTACTGTATTCCCATTTGTTAGTCAATGGGCATTTTATGCATACACACAGTAGGTGAACACCTATTTATGAACAAATGGGGATTAATTATGATGACAAGAGAGAAATCTACTGTGAGCCAAATGATGTTAAACCAACACCTTATATAATATATTAAAAGAAATTATTACAGGATCCTGAGACTGACTGTGTGTGTATTTAAGACATAATCTTTATACAAGCATTTCCAGAATCTCAGCCAAAACAGTTACTGTAACTATGACACCTTAATAAATGCCAAATACAACAGTTTAACATTTACAATGAAAAAAGTAGCTGCCATCTGAGACCTTCTACTTCTTGGAAAATGCATTTTATTGCTAAGTGTATACTCATGTTTTTCACACTACAACATGAGCACATCCTGTATTAAGAAATCCTAACATCTACTTTTAGATCTCCACACAACAACTAACCAAAGAAGAATGGCTCATTTTATAAGTTGTTTGGGTTTTTTGGGTTTTTGTTTTGTTTTGTTTTGTTTTTTTGTTACTGCAAAATGGAAAGAAATAGTCTTCCTGACTTCTCTCTTTCTATGGAAAAGTAATCAAGGATGAACTATCCTGGAATGCAACAGATTCCAGTTCAGCTTTATTCAGAATATTCTTCTTAATTTTACATAGTTAGGTTCTCAGGCTGTACTTTACCAACTACATAGAAAGTCAGACTGCCTCTTGGGAACTTCATCTACAGAAGCTGTTTTTGTCTATGCAAATGTTTCATTTTTGTAGGTAAGAAATATTTTTAAAAAGATTGTACAAGCAATATAAAAAGATGGTGGATCAATCTGAGGAATTACATCAGAATTAGTTTCTCCAAACTGCAGCTGAAGCACATAACCATGAAATTATTTTCCTGATCTTTTTAAAATGTCTTCAGATATGGAACATAGGTTTCCTTTCACGAATCTCCAGGTCTCAAAACAAAATTCCATAGAGAATTAACTGTATGTTAGCTGCATTTTCCTGAACAGAAAAAGCAGGTGAATGTCCCTCTTAAAACTTCATAATCAAGGTGTAAATGCTAGCCGTAAAGTTCCCAAGAAACCTTTACATTTAACTGCAGTTTCCCATTCCAGAAGTGGTTTTCACCTCAAGGGTCCTGGCCCATACCCTTTTTTTAGTGCTGATTTGGACTTGAACTCCAGATTAAAGAAACTGTTGTGCTTAATATAAAGAACTACTTTCTCAGTGTCATCACATCAGCTGTAGAAGATATATTTCCCCCATTCTAGACACACAGGTTCTTGGGCTGCTATTTCACATTCTGTTTGTTAAATCTCACTGCTGCCGTTGTCTTTGGAAATAAACCACAACTTTCTAAAAGTGAAACATCCAGAATTATGTTCAGCAGAATCACAATTAAAAATACTGGTACCTAATAACACAACAGTGTTACCAAAAATAACTACATAAATTACTTGAAAAAGGTGGAATGGGTACAGTCTGCTTCTGCTATGAGTTACTAAAAAAAATTTAGTCATGTTTTATAAGGATTTTAAAATCTTTGGTTTTGAATTTCACTGTTGATCCACACAGAGAAGAGGAAAATAGCCAGTAGTCACACCTTAAAAATAGCACATCATAATGAACATGTTAGTAACAAGATAGTTTGCACCTGACATTTCTTAAACTGTAGTTGGTAAACTTAACTTTCCTGTACCAAACTAAAAGAAATCTTGTTATATCATCATTTGTTGAGGAACCAGAAGAGTCACTATACTGCCCACCAAAATGTCTTTCACTTGCAGCTTTAAGTTTGAATTCAAGCCAGTTGGAATAACAAGTACAACCCTCCATCCCAATTAAGAAAACAACCCCAAAACCACAGAAACCCAAAAAATCTGGCAGTTCTTCAAACACACAAACCAATTAATTAAATAACCTGTCCAGCACTGCATGTGTATGTTGTGTAAATTCAGTGTACCTGCCACATCCTCACCTTTCCACTTCCCTGTGGATGTTGCACATCCTGACTTCGGATTGTCCTTCCCTTCCTACCCCCTCCCTACAAGCCAAGAAGTTGCTTGCTCATTTTCTCGCACATCAGAGACTAACTCTGAATCAAACAAGTTCAGCTGGGTCAGTAAGTGTTGCTTTTTTTTTCTCCCAATGTCTTAAGAAACTAAGAATTCAATAGTTTAATTCAAATAGAGTTGACTGAGTTATATTGGGATAAGAGACTTCAACAGTTCAGTTCTTCAATTGATCTTGCCCATTTTTATTGAAGCTCAAACAAAACATTCCATTAATTCCCACTGCTCAAAACATGTGCAAAGATAGTTATCTAAGTAACATCCAGTGAAGAAAGGTATTTTAGGGAAAAGGAAAGAAGAAGAAAAAATTTTAAAAACCTAACACCAGCTCTACCCTGGGGCTCCTTTGCAGCAGCACCCTTTTTGGCAGCAAGCTCAAGAATCCAGCTCATTCCTTTTTAAATATACACGAAATTTTAATCATCAAAACAGTGAAGTGAGAAGTGACACTTTATGCCATAACATTTTAATGAAACACCTGAGCAAAAGCTGTTTCAGCTTCTACTTCTCAACTTGATCATAAGAGAGCCACTTCCCTTCTTAAACTGTGCCTCTTGAATCACATCATTTAGTCACTGTACTTCATCACCTCTCAGACCGAGATATTTTCTGGAACAGCTGTTTTCCTTCTAACCACACTAGCAGTATTCTTTAACAGTGTTCAGCATCCAAAATCTGGATTATCTGGGGTAAACCCAGGAATGAATGAAACAAAAATGGGACACAAAATGTTAACTCTGAATTTTTTTTTTTATTTAACAGGACCGAAAAGGTTAAGAACAAAACAAACCACAACGCCCCCCCGCCCAAAAAAAGTGACACAACAAAGTTGATATTGCAAAACAAGTCCCTCCTCTAACAAGTAACTCCTAAAATTTACTGAAACCACCCCCATCCCTGCTCATCTACAGCTAAATTCTAGCTTGTACAGAAAGAAGTTTCAAGTCCAAAGTGACATACCATTTTAACTCTATCACTTGAAAAAAACCCAAAACAATCCAGTCATTAAAAACTCCACCTTCTTTTAATATTACATTATATGAAAATTAATGTCTTGCTTGCAGAGAAAAAAAAAAAACCACCAAAAAAATCTGTTGAAAGAAACAGTCTTTATTTCTATCTTCATTTCATTTTTTTTCAAAATATGGAACAGTATTAGAAAGAGAAAAAAAAAATACAGCAGTCATCAGCTCAGATTGATGCAGAAGTAAAAAATACTGATGCAGAGTTTGCTTCCATTGGGGAAAAAAAAAAAGAGTTGAAAAAAGCATTCTAGCTTCAACTATTTAAATAAATCCAAAATTCATTATTTTTTGTAAGGACAATGCTGGACAAGACACTCTTCTTGCAGACATCAGGCAGTTCAAAAACACATTTTGTTCTGAAAAACATTTCTGACATTTCACATTTGCCAATATTCACTCATTTCTAATACTCTGTGTTGCTAAAATTTGAACATTATTTAGAAAGGAGATGTGCTGAGTCACCTTTACAAGCAAGCTGGATGCAAGAAATTTTTCATGAAAAAAGCCTTATTTTTTTGAAAGAAACCTGATGAGGAATTAAGTCTTTCAACATTTAACATTTTCAAAGTTAACTACCTTACTGGTATTTTTCCAGCAGTAAAAATGCTAGTGGAAGAAAACATATATTTTATGTTAAAATTATTCCATCTGCTTGACAACAATCTATTAGGTCATAAGACAGACAATAAGCAAAAATGAATGCAGATCTTTACCTTTTGAGTTTTAGTAACCCTTACAGGAAAAGCGTATTGCTTTATGATGAGCTTGTATCCGAGAGAGTATTTACTGACTGCATAAAAATGAATAATAAAAGTATTGGCATATAAATAGGTCACGAAGCTTAAGACACTTCTTGTATTAATCTTACTTAGATTTCTGGGCTTTAAAGTGGAATATCACAGAACTGACAGTGGAAAATGGCTGTGGGCTGTTTACTACAACTGTAAGTTAGAAGTTAAATCACAAAATAAAAGGATTACAGACTCAAATGGGGGAAAGCACTAGGTCAGGACTGCAATCTCTATTAATTAGGTATCCCAGCTGGGCAGTGGGTATGCAGCTGTTAACTTGATCAATGACTTACCTAAATGTCATCTCTACTGATTCGCTTATAAATTACCAGCAAGTGAGACTAATGTACAGGTGCTAATTTATTTAAACTGTTCTCTGCAGTTCTACATAGCTTTATAAACTGCATCTGGCACCTAATGTTAGCTGTCAGTTGTACTTAGACATGCCTGTCCTAACGACTCTGTTCATTAGAAATGAGCACAAATTATGAAATATTGTGAAAAATGATACATCAAATGGAATGGGCAAAGCAAATCAATTAGAAAAACTTCATAGCACATATTCACACATAGGAGAATAAAACATCCTAGCTTCAGAGTGAGGTCTATAATACCAATTAAAAAGCAATTGGTAGACTCGTGCAGAGTTATATATCAATTTGTTGGATTTTTTTTTCTCCTCCAGAAATACTGTTGTAATGCACAGCTTAACTTTTCATTCCTAAATAAAAGCATCAGTAAGAGGCAATTCTGCTTCCACAACATCCAAGGATTAGCAAGTAAGTCAACTTATTTTCCTTTTTTAAAACTTTACAAGGTTTAGCTTTCATTAAACTCTACCTAAAACTCCAGTGAAGGACAGAATCCTAGGATGTCTACTTTTGAAATACACTGCAAAGACTGATTAACAGCAGAAGACATGGAGGTATATAAGTACTCATCAGAAAGAATTACTGCTGTTCAAAATGTAAAGCTTGGTAATTCTCCTGCCAGTGCTTAAGGAGCTTTTATATTTTTATAACAGAAAATTAATTATGCATAACAGACACTATTACACACGTTAATTACTTCCCAATACCTGATGGACTATGAAGAAATCAAACCACAGATACTTGGTATCACCAAACAAAACTACTCTTTTGGCCCCACTTCATCATTTCAGAAGCAGTCTGCAAAATAGTCCCATACCTGTCACCTGCATTGCATTTTTAAAAGCTAATTTCCAGAATGAATCTGCTTTTACTAATCGTGGAGCTTAGTTAATGTTGTGCAAATGATCATAGTGCTATGGCTTTATAAAGAAGAAACCACTACATAGATACAGTCATTTTGTATTTCTTGCTCTCTAGAAGCCTTCCTCCTAGACCCTGTCAAGGAAGGAAGGAAGCTAGACTACAGATTAATGTATTTCCTACCATTAACCTTCCAGGCAAACTGAACTATCAGCATCATCATTGTACTGTATTAAGACGGGAGGTATTCTGAAATGGTAGATTGGTGCATGTTTAGTTTACAAGAAAGGCACTCAAAAAAATAAACATCACTAAAGGTAAGGAAAAAAAAACACCTGAAAAATACATAGAGAGGAAATTTTACAGCTTGCAGAGAAATAAGAGCCAATGTTAAGAATCAGCCTGGTATTACTGCTGACCTCAATGAATACTTTTACTCTGACCGTACCCACTTACACCTAGATGGCAGGGTCTCTGCACTGGCACTTGCTTGTAGAAGGGCAGAGAGATTCCCACGTCTCTACGTAGATGCAGTATCAGTGCAAAGCTCTGCACTCACAAAGCTTGATTTCCTATGGATTTGTGACCTAAACTCAAGCTGCCTTTATGGATTTTCTGATACCTGATAAAACTCATTTCAGCCTTTTTCTCAACAGACCATTACTCTGGATCGCTTTACATTGCTGCCTATTTCTAGAATTTAGTTTTGAAGCCTGTCAAACATGTTTGAAATGAGCCTGTATCACAACCTACATATTATTTCTTGACATAAGTACACTGCCAAGACCTTTCAAATGGACACAGACAGAATTTTGTCACTGAGAGAGGCAACAAACAAATCTCCTTGCCCTGAAAAAACTAAACCATGGGCACCTCTTGCTTTGCACTTACACATCACTACCACTATCCTAAGGGCCCTGCTGGCACACTGGGCTGCCTTGACTGCAGCAGTAGTGTTACTGCTGTGCAAAGGAAACTTCAGCCATGAGACTTCACATAGCTTCACCTAAGAGTGAATGTCACTAAATGACATTTCTCCTTCCTACCTCTAATGTATGATAAAGTAAGATAGATATGACAGAAGTGAAGGCCAGGTGAGACATAAAATAAAAAATCAAAAAATGAAACATCCATGCAACAAAACAGTTTTTTGAGTGAAAGGGAGCTTATCTTTACACGAGCCTAAATGACAGAGAGAAAGAGGAGGCCACCCATCTGCCAGTCATGAGAGGGGATGACAATAAAACAGTATGTTTGTAGATACTGATAGAAGCTTAAATTCACATCTACATTAAAATCCTCAAGCTATACCAGTGCACTGGTTATAAAATATGCTATAAAATTTAATATATGTTACCAGCAACCACTGTATCACACAAGAAAACCCTAAATATACACAGCAGGTCAAATTGTGAGTAAATGTTTTGAAATGCTACATAAACCTTTACAGTGCCTCTTATAACCTGAGATCAAGGGGATTATCCATTAGCACTTTTAAAAAGAACCTACTGTGCTTTAACAAGATATAGTATACAGCTCTATACTGGGATGTCTGACCTTACATGGTAGCAGAAGTAGAATGTCTATTCACAGTCACAGTTGCAATGTTTGCAATGTATAGCAGCATTCTTGCTTATTCTGACAGTTTGATTAAAATTCACAGAGAGCTGAGGGGCTCATGCTGAAGTAAAGTGCTTTCAATATCTGAAACTCTAGAGTAAATTACTTCTCCAACAGAGCAACTGTACTTACATCAATATCCTCTTGGGTAAAAGTTTCTGGATCTTCTCCCATCATGTTGGCTAAATGTCTCTTTCCTAGGTTGAACTCTTCAATCTGTTTTTTAATAAATGCCTCTGTGTACTTTTCAGGTCCTGAGGCCCCTACATTTTTCCTCTGCACTGCTGCAGTGGTACAGATCAGCCTTAATGTCTAACAGAAAAAAAAAAAAAGTGAGAGATTTAGTTTACATTTCTGGCATAGTGAGCTCTAAATAAAATGAATACATGAATACTATAGCAAGTTATTCAAACCTATAACAAGATTCAACACATCACAGGAATAAGTTAGGAAAAGCATTGTTACTCATTAAATTATTTTCTTCCAATGGTTTAACGTCCATGAGCAGATAAACACATTCTAAAGCCTTCACATTTTCACACATTACAATTAAGTTAGAAGATTCTTTTGACGGAAAGAAACATATATATCCTAAGTCAGGAACATTCAACATAAGCAAGGAACAGCACTGAACAACAGATCCCATCACAAAAGACAACAAAAACCATCAGCAAATAAGCAGGTTTTGCCTTCATGTAAAGGCATCCCACAACAAAGTACGATAGGAATATGTGGGGCAGCTCCTTAGTGGCTTTTCAGAAGCCACTGACCAAATACTGCTAAAAGCTCTGGAAAGGCCAAGGCGTGCTCCTTCCTTGTTTGTGGTGCCAGGATGGTTCTTAAGCTACTTCACTGTCTCAAGTAGCCCAATTAGAAAACTAGTAGGGTAGTCCAGCAGCCAATACTACTGAGCAGCGCAAGTCATAACTCAGAGGGCAGTTACCTTCTCAGGCACACAGGTTTGGTCTCACTTCTATGAAGACAATCAGCTGTTAAGATGACTAATTTCATGGATGCTCTCTGCCAGACAAACAGGAGCTTCACTGACAGAGCTGTAATGTCTCAATTCTGGCCTAGTGTCAATATTCTGCACTATTTTGGCTCTTCAACATTAGTATTAAAGTTCTCTGAAGCTTAACTATTCTACAAACTGAATGAGAACTGATTATTTGTGTGGTCTTCTGTGGGTGGGGGGAGGGAGGGAATCACAAGAAAGAAAGCAATGTCAGACACAAAAGCAGACAGAAAAAGAATCACTTCTGATTCAGAAAAATGCCAAGTTTTGTTCATCACACAGTACCCTGAAAGACTTCACCCCCATCCCTTCAATATGCCACGGCTAGGCTTTGTGAGGAGACAGTGCAGCCTCACAAGGCAGAGAGTGCCCACTGCACAGTTCACCCCTGCCAGCATTCTTTGCTCCACTCCCTTTACTCGCCTGTGCCAGCTCTGGCACAGGACTCCTCTGCAAGCCAACTCAGCTGCCTACATGGGGCAGAACACTAAATTCTGCTTCATCCTGACAAGCAGGCAATTCTCAGCTGAGCTGGTAAGCCTGAGCAGTTCAGAAATCACTTCTCAGAGAATTACCAAAGCTGCAACAAGAAGGTGGCTGAAATACTCAACTGGGAGAAAGAAAGTAGAGGGGGAGTCCTTTCTTTACCTTCATCTCCTTGAGCAAATTACTAAATTGCCCCTGATGCTCTGGCACCTGCAGCCTCAGTCTATCTTTAGCAAAACATTAAAAATCAGACACATGTGAAGTAGTTAGGGTTCTGATTACAAGGAGCAGAACAAAGGTAGTATTAGAAATGATTCAATGTTCTCTTAAGTCATGAGAATTGTCTTCAGAGCACAATTTAGACATGCTGAGAATTTTGATGGATTTCACCCTTCTGAGCTCAGCTAACACAAATAAAACACTTGCTACCTTCCTGTAACTAACACAAATACAACAGTAATCTCAAAACCCAGTTATAACCACAACAATACAAACACACGTCTCATTAAAACAAGATTACATACATGTATTTGCAAGGCAATAAAAAAAACAGATCAAATTCTGTTAGCTAACCTTCTGTTAGAAACGCCAGTTAGCTTACAAGAACTTCTCCTGTGACAAGAAGCTTTTGGTGTTCTCCATTACATGGTCAAGTCCTACATTAACAGGAAATGAAACAGCTCTTCTTTGTACTTTCACAGAGCCCAGTTGGTATTTTGGACATCTGTCAGTCCAGGATGGACTGATCCAACTCATCTAAGTTGCTGCACATACGTAAAGCTGTTCATGACCAATTTACCCATCCATGCCTGTGTCAGCATTCAATATACAAAACGTAATAACTCGTTTGAAATTTCAGTTTGAAATGGAGACCACACTATGCAGCCTTAAACCTGTATATAGCCCATGCCTGGGCTACAAGATAGGTCCCATGAATTCAATCACATTGATACAGAAGGTAATCTTTGAACAAGATCACATGAGTCAGAAAGGACTGACCCTCTATGCTTTTACCTGACAAAGATTTGTCCCTTAGGGTATGAACCTCAGGAAAGTAACACATAACTCTGCTAGAAAAGATTTTAAAACAGGTCAAAGGTAGAATATGATGCTGAAGAGCCTGTTGCTGCTTCATTTTCTCGACAGCTTATATATATCGCATGCAGCACTAATCCTGGTTTGTCTCTTCCTTTTTCTTTTCTCTGTAATATTCCTGTTTCCTGTGAGGAAACATTGACATACACAGAATTAAAAGAAAAACAATCAAAAATTTAAATGCACACATTTTCCACAGGCAAGGCTCTGGTGATTTCCTTATAAAGCAGTGAGGAGAGCAAAGGTATCTCCACATATTCCCTATTTTTCTCTCCTAGTCACTCCTCAGGAAATAATTCCATTCATTTTCTGTCTAACTTGTCTTAATAGTAACTAATTATTTGTAATTCTTGTTAACGAACATATGATTCCTTATTACTTGGCCCAAAATAGCTTTCTCTCTGGTATGCTTTAAACAGAATACTTTAAAAAAGATTGCTTTCATCTTATTCCTGTCAATTTCTGTTGTAATTTTCTCATTTTTGTCGGTCTTCCCTCAAGCTATTCATATTCTTCCCTAGTTTCAATTCATCACTAATCAAAAGTCCCTGGACACACAAACTGTTCATAATTAGAAAACAGCCTCTTATGTAAATTAATATCTATTGTATTGGGTACCTCTTCTGGGATAAGAGCACTATTTCATGGGTGGCACAGGCAGAAACTGCAAAGCACAGCTAAATGCTTCTGGCATTTCAGTCAAACAAGAAAGCATGCTCCTCTACTTTGCAGAGGAAACAACAGAGGTTTGCATTCACTTCTCACACATTTCATAAGGCATTACTGAAGACAGCAGCCTAACCATTTTTAAAATAATATTAATGCTTATTAACATTATTAACAATGGTCATGAAATAACATGCTCTTGCACCATAACATGGGAGAAGAGAAAGCCTTTATTTCTGGACACTACTCATTGTGATTAACCCTTCCTTCCCAATTCCTTTCTGAGCAACCTAGAATTAAAACTGTTTGGCAAATCCTGACTTTACAGGGAGACCATAAACTTGTAGAAAATCAGCTTATGTTAAATTTGCCTTAGAAAAAAAATTAGCATTTTCAGACAGCGTCAACTTCTCTGGCCTATTTTCTTCCAAGAAGAGAAGGAACTAGGACTGTGTTCATTTTGCTTCACTGGAGTTACACGGATATAAACCAAACCAATAAACAGAGAAGTCAAGCTTCATGTACTTTTGGATTGGGAGGAAAGGTGGACTGGAGTCAGGAGATTTAAACTGAAGCCCGAAAGTTGTTCATTTTGCAACAAGACAGAGTTACAGAGACAGAAGATGACACCACATGACATGGCACATATAGTGTTGCACCATTTTCATGATTATTCCATGCCCTAAGCTAGCAGACTTCAACCACCTCCTTTTCAAAAACCATGCAGTACACAAACAAATTTGTACCAAGAAGTTGGGGTACAAGTCTGGGGTAGGACTTCACTATGTGGAGCTGGAGCTGTATAACCACATCACTATGCACTAAAGCTGCCCAGTGTCCACTACTCCAGCTGCTGGCACAGCTGATGCTACTGAACCCAGCAGACATGCAAGACAGTTCTCTGTTTACTTGTTGCACAAGAAAAATAATTTTTTACATAGCAATTATACAGAATATAAATGCTCAGAGCCATCCCAATTTCTAAAGAATTGCTTTTTCCTCAATAAGCAAGTTTTGGATTTCTAGAGTACTGTTTCACAAAAATGTGTTTTAATTGATTTATTTAAAACAACACTGATATAATCTTAGATTTTAGTTGGCCTACAATCTAATTATATAAACCAGTATCAGATGGATGTCTCAGAAGCATTTTGCAAAGCACATCAGAAAGCATCACAAGATGTCAGCAAATATGCATAAGTGATTTTATGTTATTTTTTATACCTGATTTCACAAAGTATTTCATCAGAAGATTTTTTTTTTCAAAATTAAGTCCCTTGGCAGGTAACCATAGAACAGCATCTCTCCTGCTCAGAAAATCTGCTTTCTTTAAAGCAGATTTTAACCATGTTTAATCAAATCTACATATTAAATTTTGCTATACAGTGGGGAAGAAAAAGTAGCTCTTAAATGCATCAATGCATGGCAAAAGTCAGATGTATATAACAGGGAACAGAATTCAGATCTAGTTGTTTTTAGGCTCAAGTTTTCAGGTACTAAGAGGCTTTTCAGTTGTATCTTAGTTAACAACTGCAAAAAAGGCTCCTCTTACAGTTAAAGTATGTAGTTCTGAAAGTCTGTCACCAAAGTACCATAATCTCTTTCTGATATTGGTACATATAACATCCACAGTGATTTAGATAAAGTACTGAATCCAGTCAAATTAAATAGGAACTCTGAACTCTTCTGCTGAGACTAGCTACTCAATCACATCAGAGTGAATGATAGATAGTAACTAAGCTAGATCCGTTTTTCCTTATAAATATTACTACATCTCTGCTGTTTGCTTTCTGGAAGAATAGGAAACTACACTTGTTGCTCAGTCAGTGCTAAGGGAACTGGAATTACAAAGTTCCTCTTCCATTTTGCCTCTCAATGCAAGAAACTTCAAAGTTAAGAAATTAAACATTTTCTCCCACAAAGACAAACAAGAAGTAATGAACTAAACACCTGCAAGATATTTTTAGGACAAGCACCATAAAAACATTTCCAAACAGTCAGGACAGGTAAGTGTTTAATGTAAGAAATTGTTATAGCAGGTCAGAACACGGATACAACAACTTATATCCTGTTCTCAAACACAGCCTGTATGAGAGGCACGAGGACAGGACAAACAGATAGGGATAATTTTCCCAGGGCACTTGCCTGGTTTCCAGCAATTTGTACATCAGGCATGCCACTATATTCTTTTTTAATAGTCCTCAGTGAATATTCTTCCAAGTTTCTCAACTTAATTTTTGTATTCACATAAATGCTTACCATCCTGAACATTTTCAGCAAACAGTTACACAAGTTAACTACACTAACTAATGGACAGAAGAGTCGCTAAGGTTTCTGGGCCCTGTCTCCCATTAGTTCTCTTCATATCCTTTGCTTCACAGACAGCTAGACAATTTGTGTATAGCCACAGGCTTAGGTACTGATCCTCTCTCTAGGGCCGAGAGGAATAGATAAATGATCCCTCAAGGCCCCTTCCAGTCCCACCTTCCTCTGAGACTCCTCCTTTGAGAACATTCTCTCATTTGCAATACAAATCTTAAAACTTAAGGATGTGCCTCACCAGGAAAACCAAGTTACTGTCATAATCATACTTTTGACACAAGACAACCAAAGCAACACAGACTATTCCAACTGAGAATGAAATCAAGTATTACAATATTTTCGGCTTTATTCTCTTTGTCATTCCTTGCACACCTTAAGAGCATGTATTCCTGACTGCTGCATAAAGAACTACCCACATGGGTACCAGGTCTTTATCCCTAATGGGTAAAGTTAATCTAGATGTAACCAATATAAATAGCTCAAATTGCTCCTTCCGGTATTACATTTCATTTTCTTACTGTGTCTTTCTTCTGTTACCCCATGGTTTGGTTTAGTTCAGTCACCAACAGTTCTTCACCCCATATTATCCTAAATTACTTTGTAACTTGAAAGCATTACCAGCAGGCCTTTTTATCCACTTGCTCGTCACTGATTAAATATATATAAAGGTATATCAAATACTACTGTACAAACAATACTACAGCAGCTAAGCTTTTTAATTAAATGGCAATCAGCTGAACACCCTACCCCACAAAACAAAATGAATCTGTTTAATCAGAAGTTACCTCACTTGTGGAGCACATTTCTCTCTCCACTGCAGGTATTCAGAGACTTGTCCTGTGCAGCCTGGTCTAGTGGAACATGTCCCTGCCCATGGCACTAGGGGTGCTCTTCAAGGCCCTTTCCAACCCTAATCTTTCTGTGATTCTGTGCCTCATGATCTACTCACCTGCTGACCGAATATAATTTACAGAATCACAGCATTGTCAGGGTTGGAAGAGATCTCTGGAGGTGCTCCAGTCCAACCCCCTGCCAAGGCAAGGTCACCAGGAGCAGGTAACACAGGAATGCTTCCAGGGGGGGTTGGAAGGTCCCCGGGGAGGGAGACTCCAGTCCCTGCCAACATCGACGTAAAGAAGTTCTTCTTCACGTTGAGGTGGAACTTCTCGTGTTTTAGCTTATCATTCAAAATTATCAACCTAAAACCTGCCATCTTTTGCGCTGGCTTTGCTCTATATGCCACTCTATTCATTCCAGGCTTAACCAAGCTTCTTCTTCTTCGCATCAAGGGAAACAAACACAGCTCACGGAAAGGAGGACTTGAACGCGGCGCCAGCCCTCCACATTCCCCACGCAGGGCTGTCCCAGCCCCGCCGGCCCAGGGGCTGGGGCAGCACCACACCGGGGCCTCCCGGGCCATGTCGCCGCTTGGGGCCATTCCGGCGGGGCCATTCCGGCGGGGGAATTCCCGGCGGGGCCATTCCCGGCGGGGCCATGCCCGCCCCTCACCGCCCGCCCGGCTCTCACCTGCGCGCGCGGCCCCGCGCCCCAGCGGCGGCACAGCCGCAGCACGCGCCCCGCGGCCGCCGCCATCACCGCGGCGCTCCCCTCCCATTGGCGGGCGGGGCCTGGGGGCGGGGCCGCGGCTGCGCGCTGCCGCACCCGCTGAGCCTGCGGCCGCCGTTCGGGGCTAGCGCCGGTTTTGGCTCGGCGGCACCTCGGCATTCCTGAAATCCAGCCCCGTCGGGAGACCGGTAGCTTTTATACCTGGAGTTACATTCACAGTGGCCACCAGGTCAGCAGGAGACCCCCGGCGCGGCCTCCTGTCTCGGAAGGACAGCGCTGAAAGCGGGACTCCTGGTCGAGTACGCAGCGCTGCGACTTGCAGCGCGTCTGGGGCAGCAGCGCTGCTCTGGAGATTTGTACCAAAAACCAGATTTCACCTTAGCACTGAACTGGTTTGTTTGGATTTTTTCCTATGGGGAAAAAAAAAAAAATCAAGGAACTGCAGAATCAATAGGTTGGGAAACACTTCTGAGGCCATCGGGTCCAACCCGTGGCAGTCACTGCCTTGTCAGCTAAACCATGGCACGATGCCGCCTCCAGTCTCCTTAAACACCTCCAGGGACGGCGACTCCGACACCACCGCGGACAGCCCATTCCAATGTCTAGTCACCTGTTCTGTAAAGAAATTCACGTCCTCTTGTCCTGTCGCTGGTTGCCTGGGAGGAGAGACTGACCCCCACCCGGCTACAGCCTCCTTTCGGGCGGTTGTAGAGAGTGAGAAGGTTCCCCCTGAGCAGCCTCTTCTCCAGGCTGAAAAACCCCAGTTCCCGCTGGTGCCTCTCATAGGATTTGTGCTTCAGACTTTTCACCAGCTCTGTTGTCATTCTCTGGATGACATATTTTAGAGACAGAACAGTTATCTCTTGCTGAGGGAAGGCTGGTGTCAATCCTGTCATCTCCCAAGGTGATGACAGTGTCTCTGGATACTGAACCTTGGAGCTTGAGAATGTTGCTAGTTGCTCTGAGTTACATGGGATATGCACTTATAGGTAACTGGATTTTGTCGGTAGTTTTTTCTACTATGGGAGAAGTGGAAATTAATTAAAAACTGAATTTAAGAAGCTTTTCTTTAGACTTACAGGGACCTTCTTTTTAAGAGGAGTTACTATTTGAGAGGACATTCTGGAAATTAATCTCTGTCTTTCCAGGTTTATTTTTTTGTTAAGTTTTTCATGGGTTGCCCTTGCTTCCCCCATGCAGATGAAAGTATGATTTCCTCTCTGAGTTATAAAAGAGGTTATAAGAAAACTGGCCTTGGGCAAAGGAAGTCATCTATACGGGGAGGTGAAGGAGGAGTTGCCTGGAAAGGTGCATTCATTCTTGCAGTTGCCAGCTGTGAAAGTGAAAACATCAGCAGTTTTACTGACATGGATACGTGCAAATGATTGCCATAAGCACTGCACTGAAGGAGAGCAGTGAAGTGTCTCTCCTGTGCACACCTGGCCAAGCGCTGGGAACTGCAGCCACGCTTTCCGTCACAGGGTATGTTGGGATGGCATTTAGTTGCTAACTGTTTCTCAGAAGAGAAAAAGGGGAGTTGATTCAGGGTCACAGTCCCACTGACCCACCTCCTGGAGCAGCCAGCAGAGCTAAAGGCGTGGAGAATGCCAGCGGTGAGTATGGCCTCTTCACGGCCTATGGTGAATCCCATCTGCCATCTGTCGCCCTGCAGCTTGGCTTTGTTCAGCAGCAGAGGAGCCCTTCAGTCCTCGCTGTGCTCAGCAATTGTTACTTCTCACCCCTGGCAGCTCTACAGAAACAAAGCACCACTGGAGTGAATGGGTTTTATTCCCCACGTATAATTAATCACCAATTAAGCTTGAGGAGCAGGCCACCTATAAAATATCACCCACTTATTCTTGGTAACTAGTTGATGTAAATACAACTTCCTTGATTTCCTACATTTTTCTACTCCTATGCTCACTGTGGAAAAAAATCCTAAATGCGTTTGCAATCTGGAGCATGATTTCAAAGACATTGGGGTTTGTACATGGTTTCAGCTGGAGGTTAAGAATTGCTCTTGCATATTGCTGAATACAGACTGGTGTATATGAAGTCCAGCAATTAAGGGCTATGTTATGTTTCTCTTGGATCATTAGAGCTGTCAGCCCTTAGAAACTGATGGCTGCCCTTTCAAGGTGGAAGATTTTTGAACAAATTTCAGGTGTATTTCCCAACAATCCTGCTTCTGCCAAAGAGTTTGCCTGTGCTTGCTTGCCCCTAGGAGACACTTGTACAGAGATCCCTGAGTGACCATTTTCTAGACTGATCAGGAGTGCATGTAGTTATTACTTGGGATGCTTTGAAGGAAATGTACTTCTGTGGTAGGCATGGCTTGTATGTTCCAGAAAGATTCCTACTAATGGAAAGATTCTGCTTCTGCTTGGGTGGCTGGGGTCTGCGTTTGCCAGTTGAAAATCAGTTTTTAGTACAAATGAAGGTAGGATAAAAATGAGCAGAGGTTATTTACATGCTCAACCACCTGCACCCCATCCCTCTGTGAAAATTTGTTAAGACAGGGTGAAGGGAAATGCAAGAAAACCATGTTTAATCTACTTATCCCAAGATTAACTCCAAAGGGCTTCTCTTTCTGTCTCTGTGTTTACTTGACAGACTGTAGATGCTTACCTAATCCATGCAAACTACCCCAATGCTTCACTAAGCCCTCTGAGGAACTTTAGTCACTTGGTGGCAGGGATATCCTTCTTGAGCCCAGCTGGGCAACATTCTACTCTGGGGACCTGTTTCAATTGTGAGCCTGATTACCCTTGTCCTTGTGTAACCTGCTATTCATGCTCTGTTCAATCACAGAACTGGGGACCGCTGCCTGCAGCACATTACCTGCTTTTGTTTTTAGACTTAGATAATGAGGGGTAAGCATATCATTTGGGACTATTCAAAGCTTTGGGGTGCTGTCTTTGAGGATGGCCTGACATAAAGAAAAGGTTGCCTCTGTGTGGGGCTTGAGGTTTCTGAAGTGAAAAATCACTGAAAGCAGAATAAGGAAACCAGGCTGAGCCTGTCAAATGCATGGGTTGGGGACAAATGGAGGGGCATATCTGTAGTATATGCAAATTCTTAAGCACAAACCTAGGGCTGAGCTCTAGTCCAAAGTTGCTGATTGCTTATGTTACCAGCCTACATGCAGACAATCCTGAAATGAGATTTGGGGTGGTTTTTTGTAATCAGAGATGGGATTGGTAGATAGCATGAGTTCAGGCTATTAGTATGGGTAGTGTGAAAACGAGCTGCTTGAGGAACAGGTATCCTGGTGGTAGTGCTGGAGATGTATGGCTCTCCAGCTCACTGCCTCATAGAAGCAGTCTGAAAATTGACAAGGATCTGGGGCAGCCTAAAGGTCCATTGAGCCTGATGGCTTCACTCTATCAGTGACAGGTGCTTACAGAATCACAGAATATGTTGAGTTGGAAGGGACACATCAGGATCATCAAATCCAACCCTGGTCCTCCACAGGACCATTGCCAAGAGTCACACCAAGTGCCTGAGAGCATTGTCCAAATGCTTTTTGAACTGTCAGGCTTGGTGCTGTGACCACTTCTCTGGGGAGCCTGTTCCAGTGCCCAGCAGCCCTAAGGGGGAAGAACCTCTTCCTAATAATCAACCTAACCTTCCCCTGGCACAGCTTCCCTCCAGTCTTGTCACTGGTCACCAGAGAGATCAGTGCCTGCCCCTCCTCGTCCTCTCACAAGGAAGTTGTAGAATGTGATGAGGTATAAAGACAGGGTAGATATACAGAGCAAAAGTCTCATTGGTAATGAGATGAAGAGTGTATTTTAGGCTTAGATAGGAGAAAAAATCACAGAGGAGAAGAGGTCAGAACTTGATGAAGCAAGATCTGCTGCCTTACACAGAACAAGATAACCTGCAGCAGACATGGGGGACTCCATCCATCAGAAGAAAAAGCAAATAGTTGTAGAAGGGTTAAAGTTTTGCAGGATGCCCTAATCCAAATCCATTTCCACAGAGATGCCTACATTTTTATGTTTTCCCTAAACAAAATAAAAAAGTGGATTTGTTTTGTAATTCTGAACTAAAGTTATTCTTCTTGTAAAGTGTTTTCTGTTCTCTTTCCCCTGTGCCTTTCTTCTTTAAGCTGTAAGTACTTTGGCTGAAGTTCTGGGGCACATGTGCCAAAAGGGACAGCAATCAGCAGGGGCTGACTAGGTGACAAAAATCTCAGGATGTTACAGTATCCACATGCATAGAACACTTCTCAGAGCCTAACTAGGAGCACTTGCTGAATTATCTTCGTGCCCAGGGAAGTTTACGAACACCCAGGTCAAGTGTTGAACAAAAAATTGGAGATTTTGTCTAAGGAGAGCACTAGACAAGAGTGCCTTGACAGAAAGCTTTGTCTTTCAGAAGCTGATCAATATGTGTTTGAAAAAAAAAAACAAACAAACAAAATGAATTCAAAAATGCAGACAATTCAGCTGTATTTTAACTCTGTTCCAGTTAAGTAATTTCCAGATACTTTATGACATGTGTGTGCTTTTTGACACAGAAATTGTTTTGCATTGATCTTCCTCATCACTATTGAAAGGCTTGAGGCTGATATATCCAGAAGTCATGTTTCTTTAATGCAAACATATAAATTCTATTTTAAAAGACTATTAATAACAACAGCTATTTCATTGCACCTACTTTTCTTCCGATGTGGAACGAGCACACTTCATTTCATAGACTGCATACACCAGCTACCTAAGGGCTGTCAATTATGTTACGCTATAAAAGGCACAGCACTTAGGGGGCTGTCAGTCAATTCTGTAGTGAGAGAGATTTCAAGAATCTTTATTCCAACACTATCAAATATAAAAATAAAGCAAATTTACCTGACAACATCAAATACAGAGGCATCCTATTCCATTTTATAGTGCAAGTGGTTTGGACTGAGCACAGAATTAGGAAAAGTGAATCAAGAGTAGCCAGAGACCTTTACTTGTAGAGCAGTGCCCCCTGTTTTGTTCCTTACCACAACTTTCCTTCTCCATAAAAGAAGGTGCTACCCAGATTTTCATTGCACTTTGGATCACAGCCCTGGATCTGTTTTCTTCATGGTCTGAAGGTTGCTGGTTGGGGTTTTTTTCCCCCACAGTTTATGGGTATCATTGAGCACTGCAAGGCATTTTGGGGAATATTCTTTTCTGCAGTAT